ACCCGGTCCTACCGCGGCCCCCGGTGCCCGCGGACGCGCTGGGCGCGCAGGGCGAGGCGGTGCGGCTGCAGTTGCAGGGTGAGGAGCTGCGGCTCCAGGAAGAGAGCGTGCAACTGCATCAGATCAACGTCTACCTTAGCGACCGCATCTCGCTGCACCGCCGCCTGCCCGAGCGCAGGAACCCGCTGTGAGTCCTCTGGTGGGGGAGGAGCGTTGGCCTCGGAGTCCCGACCTCCCCCTGCTCGAGCCTCAGTTTCTCCGTCGGTAGAGTGGCGGGGTGCAGCCGGAGGCTCTGACTATGTGGGGATCGCATGATAGTGAGTCTTTCTCGGAAGTGGAAGAGTTGATATGGGGGCGGAGGGAGAGGCAAGAAAGTGAAAGAGGTCATAGAAAAATCTCAGAGCCTGGCGCATCTGTTACCAAGTGGTTCCTGCCCTGCGAGCGGTGCGTGGGGGCGAAGCCCATAGACCTTGACGAGCCTTTGGCCGCACAGCTCTCCCAGTGCAGCCCCGTGCTGCCCGTGTCCCTCTGGCTCCGTATGTAATGACTCCTGGGGCCAGGGCCAGGCCCAGTTCATTCCTGTGTCAGCTCAGCTAATGGACCCCGTTGGGAGCGAGGGCCAGGCAGGTGAGAGGAAAAGTAGTGGGAAAGCCACGCCACTGACTGCCAGCGGCCTCCTCATTGATGTTGGGTGTGGATGGTGGAGAATGGGGGGTGGGAAGGGCTCCTCCTGCCTGGGCCTAGCCCAGCTCACGCCTGTGGGTGGTGCTGGACTTGAGCCTGTGTGGTCAGAAGGCTTAGTTCCTGTTGGAGCTGCCAGCTGGGCAAGTGGGTATCCTCCAGTGCGTGGGCGACGAACAAGGAAACAAGATGGCAGCAGGAGGAAGGCCAGATGACTGCTGGCACCCTTGTCCCTAGGCCTCTCCCCTTTTCTTTGAGTAGGGGGTGATTTCCCAGCACCCTGGTTGAGCCCCCTCCTTGTAGACTTTAAGAAAAAGAAGGCCCAGAGAGAGTGTTCCTGGAGGAGCCAGTGTGGACGGCCTGCCACGTGTGCTGTCACACACCTGCCACTCCTTTCTCCTCTGTGTCCTTCCTGCTTTACAGGTGCGCAGATAGACTCATAAGGTTTCCACTGGCCAGTTCTTTGAGAAGTGGATGGTCCCTTCTTTCTCCCAAGACTTCGTCTCACCTACTTTGATCATGTTGTCAGAAGGGACCGTTCCCTGGAGAACAGATTGTGAGGCTGGCACAGGACCAGGCAGTGTTTCGTTCTGTCGTACGAAGGGTCGCTGAGAGTCGGAGACGACTCAGTGGCACCTAACAACATCAACAGGTAGACTCAGGAAAAGTGACTCACCCAAGTCCCCGCACTGGAAAGTGACCCTCCTGGCCCCTTTGGCACCGTGCTGATTTCAGGATGTTAGGAGCCAGCTCTGCAGAACTTGTCCACGGAGACCCTAAGTACTCTGCCCCAGCCCTCAAAGGAGGATGGACTTGAACTTCACTGTCCTCCCTTTTTTTTCCCGGCATCTGCTCAATTCTAGGTTCATGCTTTTGCCGAGGCATTTTTACTGTTAGTATTTTTGAGTGAAACTTTGTTAGGATTGGTAGCCTTCCCCAAATGAAGTCGAAGGCGTTCAAATTTAACTCCTTGAAAGCCCAAGAGTGCTCCCTGATGCAAGGTCTAGGGGAAGGAGGACAGCCTTCTAGGTGGAACCCCTCCCTTGAGAGTTAATTTAAGATCCTGTCTCTTGCTTTTTAGCTCTGTGATCTTAAGCAAGCCACTTACCTCCTGTGCCTCACTTTCCCCATCTGTAAATAGGGAGCCGGAAATACCACAGTCTATGAATTAACGCCCAGCCCCCTGGGGAGCACACTGTATGCTAGGTTTGGACTAGTGTCCTTCCTTCCCTCTGCCCAGAACCTTCCCAGGAGGCTGCTTCGGAGAGTCATCTAGAGATTGGTCATGAAGTTTTCCTTTTCAGAGATCCAACTTCCTTTATTGTCCGAGGTTGTAACTATCGCTCTGAAACTCCGTGGGTGACCTGTGGGGGCTTATGGCATCCGGTCTCCATGGTGATGCAGCTGCCCTGTGTCCTATCAGGATTGGCTTATAGATCCTGCTGTTCCATTGACCCTGCCAAGTTAATCCAAACGCAGCGTGATAAGGAGTGTGAATGCCTCCTGCCTTTAATTCCGGCAGCAGGGCTCTTTTTGCCCAGCTAGAAAGAAAGGTGGGTGTGAGCAGTGTTGCTCTCTGGGGGCTAGGCCTTGAGCATCAACTTGGTCTGATCAGCAAGGTCAGGGCCTTGGGGAGACTCAGTGTTACTAGAGGTCCCATCGGAATGCGGAACTAATTAGGGGCGTGAGAGGTAGCCTGAAAAACTGGAATGGCGAATTACAAATTCACAACAGGAAGGGGCTTTCCATGAGAGAAGGAGTTCTAGTGGCATTGTGGTTAAGGCATTTGGCTGCTAACCAGAAGGTTGGTATTTCGAACCCACTAGCCACTCCATGGGAGGAAGCCGGGGCAATTGTTTTCCATAAAGATTTACAGCCTGGGAAACCCTCTGGACACTTCTGCTCTGCCCTGTAGTGTTGCTGTGAGTCCCAATGAACTCGAGGGCAGTGGGTTTTCCCTTGAGAGTCTACTTCAGTAAGCAGGGTGGGTGGTGTTGGTGGGAAGTCGATTCTAGCTCATAATGACCCCATCCATGTGACAGGCTAGAAGTGCCCCATTGGGGGTTTCTGGGTCATAACCTTTATAGGAATGGATTGCCAGGTCTTTCTTCTGCGGACCTGCTGGGTGGGTTCAAACCACTCAACTTTTGGTTATCCGTCGAGCGCTTAATCCTGGTGCCAACAGGACTCCTATCAGAGGTGGTTAGGGTCTTTGAATGTTGGGGGAGGGGAGGCTCGGAGGGAGCATCCCATCTAAGCAAGAGGAGACACCGTGGCCCCACACACCATATCTGGGGCAGAGCTGGTCTAGAACCCAGATCTTTTATCCCCTTTGTACTTTTTGGAGGTGTGTGTAGGATTGTTTATTTGTTTTTAATTATAAAAGTAACATGTTCAAATCATGGGAGAAAGAAGGGTTACTTATGCACAGGTAGATAGCTCAGGGGGAGGAGTCCATGGAGGGATGGACACAGGAAAGAGATAACTATGGAGAGGAAGTGGGAGGGGAACTGTTGCATTGTGGTAAATTGTAGTCAATGTCATGAGACAAAGTATATGTGAACCACTGTATGGAAAGTAAATTTGCTCTGTAAACCTTCACCCAAAGCACAATAATAATAATAATAAAGTAGCATGTTCAATCAAGAAATTCTAGCACGTACAGAGGAGGAAATACTAAAAGATAAAAGTCACCGGTAAACCTACCATCTTGGGAGAACTGCTGTTAGCGTTTGGCTGTTTGTTCTAGAGTTTTCCAGGTATGGATACTGTTGTCGTTAGCTACCACTGAGTCGGCTCCCTGAGTCTTGGTGACCCCACGCACTACCGGGCAAGGTGTTGCCTGGTCCTGGATTGCTGATTGGACTATTGTGACCCAATGGCTTTTGGCTGATGCTCAGAAGCGGTTCACCAGGCTTTTTTCCTAGTCTGTCATAGTCTGGAAGTGCTGCTGAAACCTGCTCAACGTGCTAAGGTTTGGAAAAATGCCCTTTTGGGTGTGTGCATGAACACACATTCAAACCTGAGCATGTATATAGGTCCACACATGTTTTTAAACAAAGACTTTGCCCTACAGTGCATTATTAACCTGTTAGCAGAAGGAAGAAGTTGGAAATGACTGAAGTAGTATTTAGCTTGGCTCTTCCTGGTGTCTGCAAGGTTTGGCACCATGTCTGCTTCTTGGACAGGGCCAGACCAGTAGAGAGAGATTTGGGAGTGTTGTCTGTAATTCTCAGAGACTCTGTAGACCAAACTCCTTAGAGAATCTAGTAAATCACTCGCCCGTGGACTAGCGTACAGCGTTACTTATATTTGTTACAATACTGAATAAAGGAGGAGGACGACAAAGAATCTTTGCATGGTAGTGAGGAGTAACAGGTAATAAGGAGCTCTGGTGGCACAATGGATAAGGCATTTGGCTGCTAACCATGAGGTTGGTGGTTCAGACCCACCAACTGCTCTATGGGAGGAAGAGGAGGCAGTCTACTTCCATAAAGACTTACAGTCTTAGAAACTCTGTGGGTGTTGCTGAGTCAGAATCGACTTGATGGCAGTGGGTTTGGTTTTTTGGGTATGTGCTAAGTGTGGGGTTTGTACAGCTTTCACAAATCCCATCTCATTTGATCTTAGCAAGGAGGGGAACTTTCACTCTGAGATGGCAGCAAGTTAAAGTAGGAGCTTGATAGCTGGCTTTACAATCCCAGGGAGGTTTTTTTTTTTTTTTTTTTTAATATGGGTGCCAGAGACCTGTCCCAAACAGGTAAAGCAGAATCTCTGGGTAGGACCTCGGCTGGTTTGATGCACAGAGTCCTGGTTGAAAGCTGCTGGCCCAAAGCCTGTGGATTTCTTACTCAGAAAATTGAGGATGGGTGCTGTTGAGAGGTGGGAAAACATCAGAATTAGGCAAAGAAGGGACGAACCAGACATCAGATGCAGTTGACACTCGTGAGGGTTGTACAGTCAGTTGTGAGGTGTCAGATGAAATAATGCTTGCTAATCTCAGTGGTGGAAACTTGCCTTCCAGGCAGGCAGTTCAATGTCTAGCCAGTTCAGCTCATAGGCAGCCACCACCCATCTGTCAGTAGAGACTTGCATGCTGCTGGTGGGGCTTCCAGACTCAGATAGACTAGGAAGAAAGACCTGGTGATCAAGTTCCAAAAATCAACTGGTGGAAACGCCGTGGATCATAATGATCCGGTCCTCATTTGGTCATGCATTTAGTTCCCTGTATGTGGGATCGCCATGAGTCAGGGGCCAACTTACGGCTGCTGGGAACAAACAATAGCATTGTTGTACCAATATTTGCAAAAAGTTTCCATTTCTGTACAAGCGAGAGGCCTTGAGATAATCACCATGATACTATCTTCATTTGCCTTCTGACCTGTTTGGCAGGTGGAGAAAGGTGGAGTGAGCTGTGCATTCACTTCCCCAGGTGTGTCTGTGGGGGTGCCATGTGTACAGAGGAGCCGTTTTCTGCCGTGGTGGAAGAATTGTGAACACTGTCTG